TTTCTCTCTTCTCCTGTCCCGCTGTGAACCACCCCCCCACCCACCCCCGCAAGGGGAGAGCCTTCTTGCTTCTTTTTCTTTCTCTCTTCTCCTGTTCCGCTGTGAACCACCCCCGCAAGGGGAGAGCCTTCTTGCTTGAGGATTCACTGGAGCAGGTTGTGTTCTCTTTTGTGTTTGGCCTGGTGCTCCTTTTCGTCCAGACTGGGGCCCGTCAGACAGTGCCAGTCCAGGCTGGGTACCGCTGTCCCATGCGGTTCTTATCTTTCCCCCGGGCCGGACCCCACTAGATATAGGGACAGCCCAGCCTGGACGCTGCTGTGCAAAGAGGTGCGTTTTCTCTTTCTGTTTTTTTTTTTTGTTTTTGTTTTTCCTGGGTTTTTGCTAGCCTCCCACCTAGTGTGCCTCCGCTCCCTCAAACTGGACAGCAACGTTTACCTGCGTTCACCGCAGCTCGGCCAGCTCCCACACTGCTGCGCCATTTTATGGCAGAGCCTGGTTGTTTCTGGTCCTGCAGAAGTCACTTTCGAGGATTGTACAGTCTACACCCCCCCCCTTGGTCTTCTTCACATTTTAATGTGTTACAGCATGGAACCATGATGTGTTTAACTGAGACTTTTTTGCCACTCATCAACACAAAGAACTCTATAATGTCCAAGTAAAAAACAAATCCAGACATTTAACTAAATGAAGTTAAAATAAAAAAAAGGAAATAATTGAATGTGTAAGTATTCACCCCCCAGAGTTAATACCGCCAAGGACCACCTTGGGCAGCAATTAAAGCCTTTGCCTAAATAGGAGGGATTGTTTTAGTTTGTCCTTTGTGATTTCTCCACATTTCCCTGGTTTGAAAATACCAGCGGGGAACGTGCTGTAAGCCACATTATATTTTTTAAGAGAATTGCTGAATGTAAATGCAGTCAAAATAATGTGATGTATCTTCGCTCCTCAGTAAAACTCCCCGCTTGTATCATCCCCGTTAAAGCCCCCAGTGAGTGTTGTTCTCTCTCCCCTACGGTCACGATCGTGTTGGTTCTGAGTGTGTGCAACCAGTCAGTCACTCTGTAATCTCATGTGAAACATCTCGGTTGAGAGTGAATGCAGGCAACAAAAACAGGGCTCCATTAAAAACGGACAATTTGAAAAAAAGAACAGACAGATCAGAAAAGGGATGGAGATTGTTTTCTTTTTCGCTCCCCAGAGCGTGGCGAATTGTGTGAAAGTGAATTACAGTGGTGGGGTATCACCTTTGTTCCACGAAAAGCAGAACTGACAGATAAATTTCAGACAGATTATAGGCTGAATGTCACACTTTTAACAACAGATTTTTATAAAGGAAAACCAAGAGTTTTGTTTTAAATCATGATGCTTAAAAAGATAACACAGCCTGAGTTTTTAATTATATACTGAAAACAAAATGCTCTTACAATCATGTTTAATAAAGTTTTCTTCACATTTTAAGTAACCACCTGTTGACTTCAAAAGTTTTAAAGGATAATATTAAGTTAGTAATATATTAGATATTAGATAGTATTGGATTCAAGACCATTAACGTAGACCAACAGAAAGCACCACTTCTCCTGCTAACATTCAGAGCACATGGTTGCACCATAGAAAGTCTCCCCGCTTAGGAATCAAGCACAGACCCCAAATTTCCACTTCACTGTGCTGGAGCAAATGCTAGGAGCGCCTTTAATTGCAAATGGAATTTCTGTAGCATGATTGTTCTTGTGCTTTAGTGAAGAAAAACTCGGATTTCCTGCAAGTTCAAGTCTTTCGTTTCTCAACATACTGTACACACTGTCCGCATTAATATCCTGTATTATCGTTCTGGCTTCCATTTTTTCCCTTATTGTTATCTTCTTACCCTGCCTGGAGAGAATCCATCCTGACAAGTTTCAACACCACTTTTGAACATTTTTTTTTTTATTTCTGTTGTTTTAACATGTCCCCAACAGCAGTAGAAACATTTTTTTTTGTCGCAAAGAGGTCTCTTTTATTTCTGCCCTCTCTTGCATTTTGGGTGTTTCTTTTGACGGAAGCTGGTTCAGCTGGTTTGTTTGCTAAGCCGATGTCTCACCTTTCTGCAGGAGGGAGGACGCTGGTCTCTTGGTGTACAAGGACCACCTGCCCGTCAGCCAGCTGGTAGTTGGCGATACAAACAGACCAGGCTCCGAGGCCAAGCTGACTGTTGGACCACTGCGCTGTCAAGGAGACCGTAAGTGCAGCTATCCTGGCTCTTCAGCCAAGTCCCACGGGTCTGGGAGAGAGAGAGAGGCTTCTGTGTTGTCGCTTTGGGGCCTCAGGTGTCCCGTCTCGCGCTCCTCCTCACAAACGCCGTGGCATTCCCAAACGCCCCGTTTCTCGCCTTCATGCCCCCTGAAGCCACCACGTTCTCACGGGCGCCAGGTTTGCACAGATTCTCACTCCTGGACCGATTTCCTCCTCGCCTCTCTCTGCCTTCGGTATTTGAACCTCTCTCACTCACCAGCCCGCGCTCACTATTGGGAAAGCCTCCCGCAGAGTTTCTGTAGTGCGCGTCCTGACCTCCTCGACTGATTTCCCGGTTCCTGATCTAAACCCCTCCCTTTCCGACCTCGCCTTTCAGATACAATTTTTGGATTGTCTTTCTCGGGTTTCTCTGGTAACCAGACTCATTCCTACATCTCCTGCCGTCCTAGCCTCTGGATTACGTGTCTCGGATATAGTCCCAGTGCTACTCTGCATTCCGCAGGGTTCACGGCAACACATAGTGTAGGATCGCCCTGTTCAACCTCTCGGTTCCTGACATTAGGCTTATTCTAATGTAATGAAATACGTATGTAGGATAGCACAGACATAAAATACATCATTTATAGTACTGTATGTGTGTGTATGTTATTTAGCACTGATTTAATTAGTGAATAAAAACGCAAAATGCAAAATATTTTGAGAAATTCTCCAGTCCTGGACTGGTAAAGGAAGCATTTTATTGTTTTTAAATATTAAATGAGTGTATAATTGTAAAGACTCATTGAATTGTACAACAGAGGGTGATAAAGTTTGCTTTTGTGTGATGGGAAGGTTAAGTAAGAAATTATGGAGACAATGTATGCTCAAGATGATACAGTACGTTTAAAAAATAATGAAAAAATCAGTAACATAAAGTACGGACAATAAAAAAATCACTTTACATGCAGCTGCTTTTTAATTAACTTTTCTCTGGTACTTACGTATAAAGATAGCAAATATGTACTAAGGTGAATCCTACACTCACTTTCTTGGTGTGTTTTATTCATTAAGTGGACAGTTATAAAATGTGAACTGTGTGAAGCATGCTTAGATCTGTTGACTGTCCTAGTCTTAGACACTGTGTTATCAGTATTGGCACCTGATCATTGTAAATCCAGCTAAATAAATAAGAGGATAAAAAATTAAACATTTTTTTAAGTATGCCAAGATGCAGAGAAAAATTACACTATATTTTACATAGACATGCATTTTCACATCTCTTTATTCTCATTAATCACCATATATATGTTTTACCATGATCAGTTCCGTCAGATTGCTATCACCTGTAGACAAGCCCATTTTTGCAGATTGATTCTGTTGCTTTGCGCCTGCTTTTTGTTCTCAAAGCAAAGGAATCTGCTTTGCTGCTGCAGACACTGTGCCTTTGTCGGACTGGCCAGTACAGATGAATTAGGGAGGAACTCTCGTGAATCGTTTGCTTCTCCTAATGAAAATAACCCATGCATAACCTTTTGGTTAATTGCTGTAGAGACCTTTAGTTTATTTTCAGAAGGGTTGGTCTGATTAGCTTCTGTAGACTCCTTGTTTGCTTTGAGCAACAGTTGAGTGTTTCTGTTGTGCTATAGCAGGTTAGGATGCATTGGGAAACCCATCTCATTAAAACAGTTGTTTAGAGAACCTCTACGCTTACATGCTGTAGAGTGAATGCGCGTTAAAAAAGGCCCATGGACACAGCTGTCTTTTACAGTTTTTCACAGGTGCTTCGACACTTTCACGTTTCACAATGACTCTGCTAAAGTGCAAAAATGCTAATTTTATTCCCAAATGCATTTTAACCCCAACTACACACTCCAGCATCAGAAACCTTCCTCACTTACTTTTTTAACTTTATTGTCCCCTGAAGGAAGTTTGATTTGCATGCAGATAAAAAGACATAACACAAAAAATGTAACACATCATGAATCTCCATTAGCAAATAAAAAGTATGCATGCATGCAAAGAAAAGAAAACAAGTCATAAGCCTTACATTATCCTCGTAGTAAAAAATAAATACAAAATAGATACAGTAAGTTGTCACTGAGTGCAATAGATTCGTCACGTACACGATGAAAATACAAATTAAGAATCCTGCAACCTGTAGCAAGTGCATAATGGAGAGAATGTTTTTGGAGTGAAATGTAACAAAGTTACCATGAAAAAGAAAATATTCCCACCAAAACAACAAAATAATTACTTAACCAATAGTGTAAATTCAGCGTACATCAAATTGTGATAATAATTTTTTGGAAACCCTTTTCTATAGTATTAGTGTGCTGTTATTCTTACAAAAAAAAAATTGATGAATGATGTTTTGTGTCAAACAAGAGCAATAATGTCTTTCTGAGTGCCAGCTCTCTCATGCACCACAGGCATAAATTAAATTGACTTTGTAAGATAACAAGATGTAGTGTGACTGCAGCTGATTTCATATTGAAGTACATACAGTACATGCCGATGCACCAAAAACTATTCCAGGAGGATTATTGCTATTTCGTGGGCTTCTGCAGTTGCAGAAAAAACGTCTGGGCCATTACTGATACATTTCTGTTGTGATTTCTCTGCACATTCTCTATGCCACGTAGTTTCTCGCTTTGAGAAAATAAGGGCCACATCAAGGAAACGTTCTCGACCTGAGCTGTGTCAGATCAAATTCCATTTTTCTTTTATTTTCATTACCATTACCAACGGGTTTCTTTTTGCTTTCTTGTTTGCGGTGTCTGAGATTTGATAGACGGTGATGGAGATGAAGATGAAGCCAGGAAACAGAACAGAGGCTGCTGTGTCAATGGAGCAGCTTGGCTCTGTGGCCCCTGTTGGCCACTTTCGCCTGTCCCTGCTTGTTTGGCTTTGCCAGGTGTGATCTAGAGCTCCTGTCCAGCTGCTACAGCCAAAATGTCAGATTCTGCTGCACAGAATTAGTTGTGCATAGCACAGTGAGGCAGAGGTTAGCATTGCTGCCTCACAGTGCTGTTGCCCTGGGTTCAGCTTCTGCGGGCATATCTAGTTTTTACATTCTCCCTGAGTTAATGTGGGTCTCCTCTGAGTGCTCTGGTCTCCTCCCACAATCAAGTCAAACAGCTAGATTAATTGGTTTCTGGGAAAGTTGCTCCTGGTGTGAGTGTGGGCGTGTCTGTGTCTGTGTGTGCCCTGTGATGGACTGGCGTCCTGTCCTGGGTGAGTGTCTGTGTCTGTCTATACCCTGTGATGGACTGGCGTCCTGTCCAGGGTGAGTGTGTGTGTCTGCCCTGTGATGGACTGGCGTCCTGTCCAGGGTGAGTGTGTGTGTCTGTCTGTGTCCTGTGATGGACTGGCGTCCTGTCCAGGGTGA